GTCGCGCCAGGCGCCTCGCGCGGCCCCACCTCCCTCCGCGCCCCGGGTTCTGGGGTCCCCGGCGACCCTCATCTGCCCCGCAGCTGCGTGCTCTGCCGCCCCGCTGGGTCTCCCCTCAGTCTCGAACTCATAGCAAGGACCAAAGGAACCAGACGAAAGATGGAACTTCTGTTCTGGACCTGCCCTGGAAGCGCGCGGGGCTGGTCCTCCGCTCAGCTGTGAGATAGCTTGTAAGGCAGCGTTCAGCAAGCGCCAGGGCAGAGAGAGCAGAGTACCCCGACACCAGAGATCCCCAGGTCTCACCAGCAGCAGCAGCAGCACCTGGGCACTTGTTGGGAGAGCCTGATCGGTCAGCCTGACCCAGGCCACACCCGCTGAATCAGCTCTGGGATTTGGAATGAGCAGTGTGTCTGCTCAATTGTGCTAAGTTACACATGACATAAAAGTTAGCATTTTATCCATCTTTAAATGACGTTTAACGCAATGACATTGCTCTGTAGCCTTCACCACCGTTCTCCAGAGCTTTGATTTCAAAACTGAAACCCCTTTAAGTCCCCATCCACCCCCTTTCCGTAGGGCCTGGCACCTCCATCCTACTGACTGTGCATGTGACCCAGTGCTCTACAAAAGTAAATTCAAATTTGACAGGCTTATTCTACTTAGCATAATGTCCGCTGAATCAAGAGTATCAAAGCATGTGTCTGTTTCCTTTATTGCATTCCATCATATTATTCCATTTTTTTTTTAACCTGTGGATTTTTCTATGGAGACTTGGGTGCTTTTACCTTTTGGGAATTGTGATACTATTATGAGCACTGTGCAGTTATCTGTGTGAGTTCCTACCTCCAGTTTTTTGTTTGTTTGTTTTAAACAGTTTGCTTCTTCTTTTTTTTTAATTTATTTATGCAAACAGAACTGGGGTACAGGCCAGAATGGGGTACATGTGCAGAAATGGTGAGAGGATTCACCAGAGACAGACAGGGGAGCAGAACAGACAGTTCAACTAGATTGACGCAGTACACTGCTGAGGGGAGCAGCGGGCGGGTCAGGAGAGGTCTGCCACGCCATGTCGTCACCTCCAGGGCAGGAATCAAGCTCACAGTGAAGTGGCTACCACCAGCTTGCAGTGCTGCATCCTAACCCATTTGCACCACCAGAGAGGACCAGCCCACCTCCAGCTTTTTAAGGTACATACCAGAAGGGGAATTATTGGATCACTAGGTAGTTTAATCTGTTTAAATATTTAGGAACTGCCATGCTATTTTCTGCAGTGTTTTACTTTCCCACAAACAGTCCTCAGATCTCCGATCTCTACATTTTCACACCACTTGTTAGTTTATACATCTGGGATAATGGTAGGACATCCTAGCAGCAATGATGTGTATCTCATTGTGGTTTTGATTTTCATTTCCCTAGTGACTAGTGATGTTAAGCATCTTTTCAAGTGATTTTTGGCCATCTGTGTATTTTCTTGGTGAAATGTTTATCCAAGTCCATTGCCCCTTTAGTGATGTGCGTTTACCAATCTGTGATTCTGATTCATGGTAAAGTTTGAGAACCCAACGTTAATGAAAGAACCTAGAAGGCAAGTGTTCAAAAGTTGCCAGCTGTTAATAACAAATTGCTAACGACTTTTTTTCTCTTAACCACTCCCTGCCCCAGAACTCCCTGCCACCCAACTGCTTCCTGTACCCAAAGCCAGTGCTAAGTTACAATCCAGGTTCCTCAAGAGAAAGAAAGAGAACTGTGTTTTCATGCCCCTGCACCATGCACCCAGCTGCTTATCTTTCAGAACAGACCATCTTCCCCGTGGCCCCAAGGACTACAAAGAACACTGGGAGGGAGGGAGGGCCTGCTGCCATTCACTCACACATGCTATGTTCCAAGCAGCTTGAAGATAGTCTGTTCTACAACCCGCTCAGTGGTCTTCAAAGTAGGTCCTGTGACCTCCATTCTATGGGCGAGATTTACCCTCGCCCATAAAATGGAGATGGATAGAGGTAAAGTAAGATACATAAAGGTATACAGTTATTGAGTGGAGTTGGAATTTGAACCCCAAATCTTTCTGGTATAATGGAACAAAATACACTCCTTGCTTCAGTTCCACCAAATAATCCTGTGTTCCAAAGAGCAAGTATATAAAGTAAAAAAAACAACAACAACAAAGCAACAAACAAGGAAAAGTTGAAATCAGCACTCATTGTTCCAACATATAACTTTATTTATATCCACAAGACACTCTAATGTGAGAAGAGGGAAACTCAGATTCCTCAATAGGATGCCCAGTGTTATCTGACATGTGTGTCTTTTCATACATCTATGTTTTCATCATGCACAAAAAAGTTCTGAAAGTCTGCCTCAAATATAAATAATGGCTATAGTCTGTTCTTGCCTAGCTCCCTGTCTACCCTGAGTCTTGCTTGAATTGTCTAGGAGTCAGCATGTACATCCAGAAGGTCCAGCATGTAGGGTAATATCTACATCCTGGGCAAAGCACTATCACAGCGAGAGCCTACTAGAAACAGGGACATGAATCAGGAGCAGTGCGCACCAAGCAGCCTGTCTTCCAAAGGACAAGGAAATCAAACTTTCACACAACAGGGACAGAAAGTGAGCTAAAGGTAGCCCCCACCACCTCTCTATTGACAAGCCCTTGTCTACAGTCCTGGCCTCTTTTGAGGGGCTAACACCCACTTCCTGTGAAGGGGCTTTGCCAGCAGAGGTAAGGAGGAGGCCAGCCAACATATGGAAGACAGTGGTCAATAGCCAGATGGCTCCTGACTATTTTCAAAGAAGGAAGAGATAAATAAGAAGGGCTTAGCTCATTCACACACCTGATAGTCATTCTCTAAATGATTGAAACCTAAGTGTACTTCTTGATGTTAATTCTGTATCAGTTGCCTGCCCTGACTTTTTATATAAAAACTACACTTCCACATGGCTTTCAGATCCATAAAGTTCAGAGGAAGGGCAAATACTATCACCAAGCCTTCAACTATAATAGCAGGCAGAAATTTAAGCAAATACTTTCCCACTGAAGTATTCATAAGCCAAAAGTCCATCTGTTATTATTGGGTGTAATATTTCCAACCTGCTTCCATGGTCAAAAAAAAAAAAAACGTCTTCCAGAAACTCAAATTTAATAAAACTGCTTTTTTTAAGTTCATTTTTTAAAAGATTTATTTATTTATGCATACAGAACTGAGGTACAGGACAGAGATGCAGGGGCAGTGAGAGGCTTCACCAGAGACAGAGTGGGGAGCAGAACAGGCAGATCAATGAAGTGCACTGCTGAGGGGAGCAGCGGGCAGGTCAGCAGAGGTCTGCCCGCCATGTGGTCACCTCCCTGGCTGGGGATCGAACACATGCTGCAGTGACTATGGATAGCTTCATAGTGCTGTGCTTTAACTCCTTGTGCCACCACGGTGGGCCTGATGTAAACCTTTTAAATGATGCTCTTTCTAGGCAGCAGTCTAGGTGATGAGTGAGGATCTTGGTGCTCAAATCCCTGGTCCATTCCACTGTCAGGTGTGCAGGTTTGCTGAAGCTGCTGTAACAAAACACCATGGACAGGGTGGTTTAGATAACAGAAATTAGTCTTCTCACAATTTCTAACAACAACTGTGATTATGGTAAATATTCATTGTTTAAAGACACTGTGTTGAGATGATGTTAGAGTGCAACAGAAAATAAACACACTCCCCTTTGTCTGGGTGAGATGACAGGACTAGAACCACAACTGCCCATCCTGGTCAGGTCAGAAGCATACTGAGGGGATTGTCCCAACCCTCCCCACCACGGGATGGCACTGTGGTGGAGCAACTGGCCTATCTGTGATCTTAGACTTGAGACAGGTGTTCTTATCTTCATCTGTCACTTACTAGCTGCCCGACACAGGGGCTCCTTTTCTTTATCTGCAGAAATGATGGCAGTAGGACCCAGGTCACAGTCATGGGGATAGATTAAAATAAATATAAATATAAAGAGTCATAGATTGGTTGAACCCAAATGGAAGTTATATTGACATAAAACATGAGCAACTCCATCCATAAGCAATTATAGCTGTATGGTAATCTGCTGCCCAATTTGGCCTCATGTCACCAGGAATTTCATGAAAACTCAACCTGAGAGACAGGACTGAGGTGTGAGAGACAAGGCCCAGGCTCTCCTCCCTTTTGTCTCTCATCTACATCGCATTCTAAATATGTGCCATACTGAGATCATTTTCAATTTCATATATGCTGGAGAAAAAACTGAAAGCTCATTTGGAAATGAAAAATACCTTATACGAAGGGCTTAGACAGCCCATTTTTCCAGTTACACCCATGAACATCAGCCCTCCCAGATCATAACACATCAGATTCCAGCAGGTTTATAACAATTTATTATAGTGAATACATATGTAGAGAAAGAGATATAAGTATCTCTCTCTATGTCCATATACATTGATCAATCGATCGATTGCTAATATAGACATCTGTCCAGCATCATGGAAATCCCTCCCTGTCTTTCCTTTATTCACTCCCCATCACAAGATAGCTCCTTTTCCCAGCCTCCCCTGCAGACAGAGTTCAGACATGTGACTAGTTTGCACCAATCAGAGAGGGTCCTGCTAAAGTTAGGGTCAGCAGAACAGAAGAGGTCTTGGTCTGGAATCCATCCTGGTCAACGTGGTAGGGGATTCAGCCCAACCAGAAAGGGAGCTCTAGCAGAAGTAGTAAATCTGCCATCAGCTGCAAGAGCAGCAGCACTGGCAGTGTAGGTTGGGGTCTGTTCTTGGTTCCGCAGCCTCCAAGCCTGATGACTAGGCCTTCCTGAACATTAAATCTGTAAGAACTTTTGATGCCACCTACACACATATTAGGATATCAAAAGTTTGAAATACTGGCCATAATAAGTGCTGCTGAAAATGTAGAGGAGCTGGAATACTCATACACTACGAGAGTGAATGTAAAATGATGTAGCCACTTTGGAAAACAATTTGTTTCATTAAAAACTAAACATATGCCTATCATCTGATCCCACTCTTATGTACCTATATAACAGAAAAGAAAGCTTATGCCATACCAAGACTTAACTGTGGATGTTTGTAGTAACTTTACTTGGCATTGTCTAAAACTAGAAACAACCCAATGTCCACCTGTAGGTGAAATGATAAAATTGTGGCATAGTGAGGAACACTACTTGGCAGTATAAAAGAATAAGCATGATTAATTTAAATATAACTTTGCTGAATGAAACAGAGAAAATACTGTGTGGTTCCTTCTATATAAAGCCCTAGAAAATTCAACTAATCTATAATGACAGAAAGCAGATCATTGGTTGTCTGGGATGGAGGGTGGAAGTACAGGAGGGAGAATATCAAAGCGGGGGTGAGAAAACTTCTGGGAATAGTGGGTTTGCTCATTATTAGACAGTGGTAATGGTTTCACAAGTGTATGTCAAGACCAATGAAGATACCTATGCATGACCTATGCAAGACCTATGTGTGCTTTAAGTGTGTAGACTTTATCAATTATCAAATATATCAATGACCCATAAGACTGTTGCTGTGAAACTTCTATTCTGGCCCTCCCTGGTGGCGCAGCGGGTTAAAGCACAGCACTAAGAAACTTAAGCCACTTCCGAATGAGTTCCATCCCTGCCTGCCCCAGAGGTGATCCACATGATGCAACAGACCTCTCCTGACCTCCTGCTGCTCCCCTCAGCAGTGTACTTCGTTGATCTGCCTGTTCTGCTCCCCACTCTTTCTATGGTGAATCTTCTCAATGACCCTGTACCCCTGGCCTATTCCCCAGTTCTGTATGTAAAAAATAAAAAAAATAAAGTTTAAAAAAAAAAAAAACAACTTCCATTCTGTTCTATCCTGTTTCACTCTACAGCTGTATTTTTGAAATTCATTTGACCGTGATCCTTTTTCCCTGTTCACCTATTACCCCAGTTTGCAGATCCATGTCATAAGCATGAGACAGATCTAGGAGGGGCCCTGGTTCCCCTCTCACGCTAACCATGTGCCTTTGGTGAGTCATTTACATTTCCAGAGCCTCAGTTTTCTCGCCTGTAAAATGGAGCTGTGTTCAGGATTAAATTAGCGAATGTCAAATGCCTGCCACATACAGCTTCTTGAGAACTTTAGTCCACCAACCACCCCATAAATTAAACCAGCCATATTTATGGTTTCCTCAATTGCATTAACTTTAGTTCTAACTAAAGAAACCAGCATTCAGTCATCTTGAGTCCAAAGGTCCAAGGGGAAGATGTTGAAATGTTTAGCACTGCCCTGAAGGCCCATCTGCTCTGCATTAGCTGGTCTCCCTTTGTTTATTATTCCTGGTGTTAAATCTCCTCCAATCCTTGTGTGAAAAGTTTGGACACACAATAACCTCTTTATCATATCTTCAAAATCTGGGTCCATTCTGAAAAGTTTACACCTTTTTCTTGTTGGTATTGTTTTCATGGGGATTTAGATGTCTGAAAAAGGCCTTAGGAGCACTTTACTGGAAATGTTTGTGTGTAAGCTGGATGCAGACACTGTGAATGCAAATGAGATGTCAGAGGAATTAGAAGTGCATGCCCTGGGCTCTGTGTCCCTCCCTAAGGCTCAGGCTGGTGGTCAGGAGACCAGGAAATCCATCCCCCTCCCTCACTTGTCCTTTGGGGGTAGAATAATACTGGAAAGAGAAATGGAAAGATGCCAGTGTTGTTAGGAAATAAAATGTAAGGCACACACAACTCTGTAGATTTAAAAATAAATCTATCATAATAACAATATTTATTACCATTTGTTGAGCATTATTTGCTTTGCTAAGAGCTTTGCTAGCTGCTTTTTATGGAAAATTCACAACAAACCTGCAAACTAAGCCTAGAGATTCATTTAGTCATAAGTGGCAGAAAATTCACCTAAAGCTGACTGATGATGTAAAGGAATTTATTGGGTATATCAAATAAAAATAAAAATCAGTTTGGTTTCAAGTGAGACTTAGCCCAGTAGCTCCAAATGATGTCTTCAAAGACTTAGGTTCTTTCCCTCTCTGCTTTCTTACAGGCTTTCTCTCGAGACTTCATGTAGCCAGCCAAAAGTTCCAACTTTCCCACTGTGGCAAAATGGCTGCAACAATTCCAGACCTCACACCTATATACCACAATACTCAGAAAACGAGAAAACAAGTCCTGTAACACACTGTCTCACTGATCCCAAAAGAGGCGAGTCCATTCCTAAGCAGATCAGCCTGGTGGGAGAGAAGGCTTAGTGCATAAGAGGGTGAATTGGAGTTAGCCTTTAGGGGGTGGCCGAGTACCCAGGAACTAGGAGGGGAGCCAACCCCATCATAGGCTGAGAAATTGGGAGAGGTGGTTTCTCAAGGGAAAATGGGGATAAGGTTAACAAGGGAGACAGAGGCTGGGAACACACTTAGCAAATATGGAAAAGGCTGTCGATGCACCCTTTGCCCCAACAGCAACTGTGGTGGACAGTCCCCAGGTGTGGGGACCACATTCCAACCTGCTTCTCCAGCCAAACACTTTTTCTGGCATTAGGGAAGCTTGCTTGGTCTACACACAAGGCTTCCCAGATCTGTCAAACATTTAGTCCTCACGGAACCCTCTAGGCAACAAGGAGCATAAGTTGGGGGCAAATTCTTCAATTTTCCTATCTCGAGGTTAAACATTTCTAAGGCTGGTTTCACAGGGCTTCACAGAGGCTCTCCAAAGGATTGAGTTCCATTTGCACAGAGCAGTAATGATCTGATTAACACATCCTTTATTAGGTTCACATCCCTTCTTGTCTCCTCCTCCTCAATTCTCTATCTTGTGCTCCTTGGCATCACCTTCCAAAATGAATAAACTATACCAAAGAAATCAGGGTCTGCTTGCCATGGAACCCAAACTCAAACCAGTTCACGATGGCAAGGGGAGGCAGAAAATAAATAAAATAAAGGAACAAATTAAATGATGTTAGATGGAGGCAGGAGGAAAGGAATAATGTAGAGAAAGGAATTGATTGTCAGGGTGGGTGTGGGGTGGGTCCAGGAAGGTTTTGAGGAAAAGGTGACATGTAAGTTAAAGACCTAAAGTAGGTATATCAGTCAGGTCAAATGGTTACACTAAGCTAACAAGTAACCCTCAGGTGTGACAGAGGTTTTTATCTCACTGAAACTACATGTCCATTGCAGGTCATCTAAGGAAATTTGCTCCACATAAATTCAGTTATTTGGTAGTTGAGGAAATATTGGTAGTTGTCATGGAAGACAGAAAAAGAGCTCTGGAAAGTCTTACCCATCAAGTAAAAGTTCAGCCCTAAACTTTTCAATTCTATTCCTAAATCACGTCCAGAACTGGTCATGGGGCCCCATGACTACACAGTATACAGTAAATAAATTTTACCAAGTGTGTGGGTAGTAAAGAACTTAAAGCAGTTTGAGGACAGACCTACTAACACCATAGTCCACCTTCCTAGTCATCAAATAGTCAGGAAAAAAAAAAAAAAACAACTTAACCTCTCTCCAATGAGAAAATGCTAAATTTATGAGGGAATGATGTGTCTCTGTATCAGAGACAAAATTTTTTGTTATGTTTCTCCTGACCCAGACCTATGAGCTAAAGAAGTGGGCCTCCCTGGTGGCCTACAGGCTAAGTGTCAGTGCTATCACCACTATGGTTGAGTTCAATCCCCAGTCAGGGAGTTAAGCCACATCGCACAGCAGACCTCTCCTGTCTTACCTGCTGCTCCCCTTAGCAATGTATTTCAGTAGACCCATCTGTTCTGCTCCCCACTTTGTCTCTACTGAATCCTCCAGCCAACCCCCCACACCTCTGGCCTACACCCCAGTTCTTCCACACAATAATAAATTTTTAAAAATTAAAACAAAAAGCCAAATTGTCTGAACCCACTACACAATGTCCAGCTTCCAACAAATTTACAGGGAATATCAAAAGTCAATATACACAGTTGGAGGCAAAGGATCAGAGGAAGAAAGATGGATGGATAGATAGATAGATAGATAGATAGATAGATAGATAGATAGATAGATAGATAGATAGATAGATAGATAGATCTGAATCAGATAAAAACTGTAGAATGATCAGATCAGTTAAAAGGA